TTGAGCAGATTGCAACAGCGGAAGAGTAGGGGCAGATGAGACAGTGACTGGAAGTATTAATTTCTACTGCGAAGCGGCAGGTAACGCGAATAAGCTCATTTTGTACGACAATTTTACGAATGAATTGGGATTCCAGTTGTCCGCGCCAGTAGCACGTGTTTATAGTTGCATTATACTAATGTAAGCATAAATATAAGTAAACATATGTCTCGATGTAAACATAAACATATACGCATGTTTATATCCATGTTTACGCAGATGTTTAAACAGCCACTGATATAAACATAAAAATAAACCTAGTCGAAAGCGTACCGGCCGCCGGTACGAGGATGCGGTTTTTGCACAGTTCCCCCCGCAGGTTTTTTTCGCCAGTGGCACGTTTTTCCTGGCAGATGCTTCTAGCTAAAAGAATTGTGACTGGCCACCACGACTGTAAGAAATTATTACAATGACTCCCAATCCATGCCCAAAAAATTCAGCGCTCTGGGTGCTTCGGTTGTGGAGTTACGCAAAATTCCACGTGTTCGCACGTGAGTAGCAACGTGAGTGTTTTCTTCGCTTGGGTTACTTAAAGACGGCCCTAGGCAGTGCTCAAAAAGTTTCAGTGCTCAAGCTGCTCTGGTTGCAGAGTTACGCCAAATTTCACGTGTTCGCACGTGAGCGGCAACGTGAGTGCTTTCTTCGCCCACGGTTGGTCAAACACGGTCTTGGGTAGCGCACAGAAAGTTTCAGCACCCCAGCTACTTTGGTTGCAGAGCTATGTCAAATTTCACGTGTTCGTATGTGAATGGTAAAGTGAATGCTTTCTTCACCTGGGGTTACTCAAACACGGCCCTACGTAATGCTTAGAAAGTTTCAGCACTCCAGCTGCTCTGGTTGCAGAGTTACGTCAAATTTTACGTACTCGTGCGTGAGTGGCAACGTGAGTGCTCTCTTCGCCCGTGGTTGGTCAAACACGGTCCTGGGTAGCGCTCAGAAAGTTTCAGCACCCCAGCTGCTCCGGTTGCACAGTTACGTTAAATTTCACGTGTTCGTACGTGAATGGTAAAGTGAATGCTTTCTTCGCTTGGGGTTATTCAAACACGGTCCTGGGTAACGCTCAGAAAGTTTCACTCACTGCTCTGGTTGCGGAGTTACGTCAAATTTCACGTGTGCACACGTGTTCGTACGTGAGATGCAGAAGAGCTGACAAGTACTTTACTTTCACGGACAGAACAATGGACAGTAAGTAACGCTGCAAAATTGCAGCTCTCTGCAGCTTATTGATCACCTTAAATTTGGAGTTG